AATTTAACTACGTTGATAAATAAAGACAAGGCTAACCTTTTCAATCCTGAACTGCTCAACAAATTAAGGTGATCGGCAAATCAGAGTCATTAAAATAAACGGGGCTTATATGACGACCTCAGCACATGTTTTGTTTGATTGGCAAGCTTAAGGAAATCGAATAAGCTTTTATTTGAATTTGCAGCGAACGGGAGAAAGCTTTAATGACATCAGGTTTATATGACTTTTTAAATTGCTTCTGCATATGGTATGACACAGTGTATTATCAAATCCGTTAATAACATTTATATAATCATCAAAAATATGTTATAACAACACAAATCCAACAATGAAAAACAATTACGTAAAGTTCTGTTCCACCTGACCATTGTTCAGAGGCTTTTAAAACAGCGTCAATTATTGATAAAAAATCATTTGAAACGAGATCTGCATAACCGAGACAGTTGTGGCTAGGATTGGCTATAATTTGGACAATCAAATACCATGGTAGAGCAACAAGCCTGATAGCCGTTGCATCACCTGTAGGCAAACGGGCGGTGCAAAACGCTGTGAAACCACGTTTCTATAGAAGTTCAGCTGCGTATGAACCTCGGTTCAAACTCGACAACCGACCAATGCCCAACAGTCGAGCAATTGCATGAGGATGTCCAATATACTCATAACCTCAACTACTCTGACGGGCCGTTGGCGACCACGCCTGATTTATGACCTGAATGCCATGACTGAAGCTTTTGCAGTGAGGTGCGTAGAAACTGGTTACGAGCCATGGTCGTATCTGGACTCACGCCTTCCCTGAACGCTTCGACAACGCGAATCTAAAATCGGCATCTTTGACACAATCGTTATACCACTGCCCTCACCTTAGTCTGAATTCTACCCACGCTCCAGTGCCACAACCCAGTTGCTGAGCGGTCTTGGCACTGAATGGATAAAATGTCCGGCTCCAATGGCTCAAATCCTTGCAACGGAATTTCTTGTACATCTCCTGCTCCAAATTCCATTTGTCTTGGCAGTTTACTGGACGGAATAGCTGCCACGACCTAAACGATTATTTTATATCTCCATATACGAAAAGGTCTCTTCATTAGGGTAACCACTTACATTGTTTCTTTCTACACAAGTTCAGAATGGTATGTCGTGCTTTCCAGACAAAAAATTGAAAGGCTGATTGCTTCTGGTAAAATGATAATGAGAGCGATAAGTGATAAGATTTCATTCCTTGTATTAAGGGCACTTGCTAATGTAAATGTACATAAGTTGCTCTTCAAACTCCTCCTGATTTCGCGCTGTTTTCCTTTAATATAACGCAATTCTCGCCAGACTCAGCAATTATGTGATAACATTTGCACGGCGCCTCATGTGCCAAATAGCAAAATGCTGGCAAACACAAAGCTTCAACCAGTGTCTAGAGGGAAACGTTAACTATTGAACTCTTTTTTATTTTTGGAACGTCGTACGAAGGTTTAGACATTTTCTGATCACGTGTTTACCATGCTCGTACAACCTCTGGGTTGCTCTGAATAATTCTTAGTTTTAACTCATACCTGATCAACGGTTCATTGACATACTGACTGATCATAATCTAGCAATAATATAAATACGCAGAATTTTCCAAGGCACTGCGACTGTTGTCCTCTTATGTTCCGCTATGTCATAATCAAGCAAAAAAATCACATTAGTGTCAAAACTATCAAGACTATCAAGTTGTATGTTACGGGACAGAAAAATATAACATCATTCTGATGTTATATTAACTATAAACGCTTTAACTGCAAAACCTGATCAAAACGCTGGAACAGTATTCGATAGCTCATAATATGTTGCAAGTTACATAAGTATGTCGATGGTGAGAAACTGATTATTAATCTTATCTTTATTAACGTAGTCTTGTTTACCTAACCTTAATCTACTTGGAAATGACAAATTCAAAATTTCCGCTATCGCTATTTGCAAACGTAGGTTATATGGACAAACGCTTCTTTGCTTCTAACCGGTAGCTTCTTGGGTTTAGGTTGGTTGTTGCAAATTTATTAAAATTTTAAGCTTTAAGCATACAACATTTAAAACGTACCTGTCCCCACAGAAGTTCTCCAACGGAAAAGAAAATACACCACAGCCATTGATGAGATGTCAAAGGTACGGTTGAAAAAACGTATCCACCTGCCTGTACAATAACAATCTAAAAAACGTTCAAAACAAATTTAGATCAACCGAGGTTAATTATTTTGCAAACTAACTATTAACAATAGATGATCAGACTGTGTAATGATGAAGTATGTTCGCTATTATCATCATAAGTCATAAGTACATAAGCAGAACAACTTTGGTTCGTAAAGTCGATTGTATTCGCACCCTTACAGCACGTTTACTATAAGCCATCCATTGATGCATCGCAGAAAGAATGATTCCTCTCCAAAAAATAAATCTGACTCTACGCTCGTCCTCCATATTGCAGATTTGTCCCTTAGCCAAAATTTGTTGTGCTTAGGATGAACGGGAAGCTTATGAGCTGGAACATATTGTTTATGCTCCATCGCTTTGTATGAGTGTTAAATATAGGAGAATGAAAAGTCCTGCTGAATTTCATAAACAAAGCACTTTCAGAAGTCTTCCAGCTCAGATCTTCCATTGCTTACCCCAATCATGCTGTTTAATCAGTAACATATTACATAATCCCGATGCGCAGTGGATTATTTAATCGCGACATTGTGACTGAATAACACGCGGAAAGGTCACGCAAGAAAAAATTGAAAATTAATCACGCCACGCTTCGCTATTTTGGGAACATAACTTGAAACCTGAAGAGAAACACGAATACCCCTGTCAATAAATCAGAATTGCTGGAAGGCACCGTCGCAGAGCTAAAATATGAATGAATAAATTGATTATGACTGAGTCACAGTCAGCATAAAAGGCCATTTGAAGAGGCTACATTTACAGAAAATTCGTTGAGATGAATGATACACTGCACAAAAATTCAAGGAATGATTGGAAGCCATCAACTGTACTAATTTCGAAACAGCCGTAGTGAAAACCGCGTCGCACGGTTTATGAAAAGTAAACAAACGTATGCCTGCTCACCTGAAGGACTATACAAGAGAGCCATATGCCGCAGAACAGACGGTTAGTAAAGAGTTTCTCAAAAACGTTCAGTTCGCCGTGTATTTTTCTGGCATTGAACATATTGAACAGGGTCATCAAAACAAAACAGTTGAAGACGAGGGTGAAGTGCTGCGTTGGGACGCCTGGTCTTCCGATGGCACAGTCGATGTCGAAAATTTTGTCACCGGCAAAGATGAGCACCAAAACAACAGTCAATTGGTAAAGACCGTGTCCAATAATGTTCTTCATCATCGTCCTCGAAATGATAGGCTTCTTCCGTCCGTACGGCTTGCGGCTCAGCAGTTCTTCACCGGGAAGTTCCGTAGCAAGGGCCAGTGCAGCCAAACTGTCCATGATAAGATTTACCCACAGCATTTGGATAGCCTTAAGCAGACAGATGACTATTGCATGAAATCACACGAGAAACTACCTTTAGAGGACTGTCCTCAATGGCGCAAGCGCCCAGGAAAGCGATGATTACGGCCACGAAGTTGACGGTCAGTTGGAACTGAAGGAATTTGGCAATCGAGTCGTACACGTTGCGACCCCACATCACTGCTTTTACGATGCTGGTGAAGTTGTCGTCGGTGAGAATGATGTCAGATGCCTCTTTGGCCACATCGGTCCCAGCGATACCCTGTGATTTGACACTAGCTACTGTAAGACAAGATTTAAACCGCGTTACCATTGCAAATCCAACATCTGCTTTGCGCAACGCTGGGCCGTCATTTGTGCCATCACCAGTCACCGCTACTACTTCTCTATTTTTCGACAGTTTGCTTTCGATGATACCTTTTACCAGATTGTACTTGTCGGCTGGGGAACTTCTTGCGAGAACCCTCAACGATGGCCAAATCTGATCGATCAGTTCTTGCTTAATCACACCGTTTTCATCGCGGATCTTTTCATTGAAAACCGGACCCTCGAGTATCAGGAAGTCGCTACCGGGAGAGATGATTTTGCACTGAATCGCTATAGAGCGCGCAGTGTTAATATTGTCCCCGGTGACCATGCGAACGGTAATACCCGCACGCTGACACCTCTGTATCGCGTGAGGCACTTCCGGTCGGACCGGATCTTGAATACCAACGATCCCGATGCAAGTAAGATCAGATACGATCTGGTTTTCATCATCCAAGTCGATCGGATCCGTAAAGAGCACTTGATTGATGCCCGCGTCCTGTGGCACGTAATCTCTAAGGCAAAAACAATAAGAATCGTTCAATTATCAGAATTACAACAGTGCCTCTACGTTCTTTTCAATGCTAAACACAGCTTAAAAAGCGCAGCCATTATTTTCATCTTCTAGTCGAGCATGACTCATTGATTCGATTGAAAATTCGGTTTCATGTGAATCTCAAGTCTACACGGAGTTACATCAAAGTTGAATGAATTATTTTAGCGATAATTTTGCTTTAAACAATGAGTGAGTGTATCCGCTCGCCAACAAACTATCAGAAAATTGCTTCTCAGAATAAAATGAATTACAACGATTATAACTGCAAATAACTCCGCCATTGCCGGTCCCAAGTCCGGATGAGAAAGGAGGACGGTTGAAGACTGTGGCAAGTCTCTGTAAAATTCAGCCACCTGCCACTCACGGTATTGACGCCTTCGGAAATTATACCGGCTCGGTCTTCGTCAAGGTTACCAAGGGCCGCGAAGGCTGTTGGGGGAATAAGGCAGACTGCGAAAAGTCGGCGATCAAAACCTGCTCATTGCCCTCTGCCAGCTGGGGGCGTGGCAGCACAACGACGGTCAGCAGATACCAGTCAGCAGCGGAGTCGCTACCCGTTCTGAACGGAGGAGGCAGACAGCGCGATGATATTACAGCACGTCAGAAAAGGCTCCACGGAAACGATACCACCAGTGGGAGCTTAAAGTCGGAAATTGGAA